GATCCTCTTACAAAGGGGTAGCCAAGAGGCATGATCTATGAGACATCCCAAGGGATGGGATTGAGACCTTTTGTATAGTTAGAAGTAATGGAAACCCAACATTTTCTTTAGATATTCCCTAATTAAAAGGTTCAATGTGGTAATAACAAGTTACTCTAACTGGGAACTAGTTTATCGTACAAGTAAATTAGTTGTAAGAAGGGTGAGTTGTAGAACTCTTAATGACGTTCATTTGGAATGTCACCTATGTGAGCATTTGGAGTGGTGCCGCTCTAACGAAAGTAAAGGTCAACTTTTGTATATGCTCATGAAACAGGATAAGCACATGGCCATAATAGTGCTACCCTTGTTGGTGGATGTGTTTTAGAGAAGAGACGAGTACGTGTGTGACTCACTCCTACTGTCACTCTAGAAAATGGCCAAGTGTAACCACTTTCTAAAGCGTAGTATAGCGGGTTTGAGTTTTATTGTCAACCCGGGTCCTAGATGTGATGACTACTCAGTGAATTCGTATTATCTAGCAATGCAACTTTAGTGAAGATCTAAACTAACAAGCAAGCAAAGTAACTAAACAGTTGTTTTCAGGTTAAGAGAGGTCACCCGGATATGGTTCCCCCTAGTCTGCAGTTAAGCCGGATTTTAATTACCAAGTTCAATTTCTATGATAGTTATACTGCGGAAGGTTCTCAAACAGTCTGAAGTATCGACTAAAGGTCTTGAGACCCTCTCAATCTGAGTCTCTAGCGGGCGACTAACCTCCACCGGAGTAAACAGATTGAGGCCCTAACGAACCAAACCTCCACTACCGAATGGAATTCGGTACAGAATAGCGAATTGGCTCCTCGACTAAAGTCACCAATTCGCCACCTTCAATCAAGGATACTCTATTAACCTAGGCAGATATTCTCATTCTAGGTTAAAGCAGAAACAACAGGAATTTGATCAGGATTCATGCCATTCAATCATTCAAACCTCAATTGAATATAATCAATTCATAGAAACAGTACTTGGGTTCATACACTCAATCCTAACATACAGAACTAGGGTTTCCCACACCCAGATGAATGGGAGAACTACTCCATGGAGAAAGAAGCAACAGCAGAATAAGATGCGGAAACCATACTGTGAAGATGGATTTCTACTCCTAGACGTTGAATCGGCACTTCTCCAAGCTCAAGCCAAGCTCCAATGGTGTTGAAGATCAAGCTAGGTCACTTGGAGACTCTTGTTCGTCGCTTTCTCTCTCTAGGAATCGTTCTCTCTCTCTAAAACTCGAATCCCCTTCTGTTTTGGCTGAAATCTGCTTAAAAACCAGAATTTCCCGACTCACACGGGCAGGCCACACGGCCGTGTGGCTCACCCAAGTGGCCGTGCGAGTCAAAACGCACCGTCCCATTAATTCGATTTTCAGCCATCTCACACGTAGGAATGGCAATGGGGCAGGTCCGGGGCGGGTTTCTTGGTACCCATACCCGCTCCGTGGCAGGTCGGGTAATTGATCACGGGTCGCGGGTCGGGGCAGGTCGACCCAATGGGTATGCAATTTATATTAAAAACATTAGAAATATTCGTTATTTTTATTATAAGACTTTGAAAACAAACAATATTATGATAATTGTAGTTAAATTATTGGAAAAATTGAGGTTTTCACTAATTTACAACTTTCTTATAGCTAAAATATGATGCAATAAAAGGAAAATTCTAAGTAATTTGACTAAAATTACATGTAATTTAGACAAGAACGGGTCGAGAATGGGGCGGGTCAGGGCAGGTCGGGTCGATAAGACTACCCATGCCCGCCCCGCCCCGCCTACGGGGCGGGTCGGACCCGCCCCAAAACAGGTCAAACAGGTCAGGTAAAACGGGTCAGGTCGAAATTGTCATCCCTACTCACACGGCCAAGGTTGCACGGCCGTGTGGATTTCCTGAGTTGCCCGTGTTTGCTCTCGGTGGAAATCACACTGCCAATTTTGCAACTTGCACGACCGTGTGACACCCAGGGCTGCCCGTGTTTGTTCTCGCACAATTCCACACAGCCTGGATTGTCAGTAGCACGGCCGTGTGGTCTTTATGTGTGGCTGTGCAGCTTCCTTAGAACCTCGCCATGCGTCCGATCCTCGTCCAATCGACCCCAAACTCGCTCCCAAGCCTCCATTCACGTACTAGGACCTGAAATATCATAAACAAGCACAACCTAGCGTGAAATCGGCCTAAAACACGAGAATCAACACCTCAAACGGAGTAAGAGCAGGGGTAAAAACATGTGTAAATAACGGTCTATCAGTGTGTGGTGTCTCCGGTTCTAGCTTTGGATCTTGACTCCTAGGCTTAAGCCCGTCATTGATTCGCTATGAACTTTGAGATGCTTACACTAAGTAAAGGTTCAAATCGAAAAGATACCTTTATGTATGCGTTACTTGTTTGAGGCAGGTATTCTCGACTCTTATTGACTAAGTGGGGGATTGTTAGAGTAGTCAAAGAGTAAAGGAAATACCACATTGGTGGGAGAAGGAAAGTGCAAGTTGTTTTTAAGTTTGCTTTCCACTTTAGTTATTGGATAAAGTGGTTAGTGGGCTTTTGGAAAAAGTGTGGGCTATTTAGTTTGACATATTAAAACGCACTTAGCACTTTGCGCATTTGCGCGACGCGTTCGGAAATTGAATTGATTTTTTGGCTATTTAATTAATTTTGGATAATTAATTGGATTTAAGTTTTGTGAAACGACGCAACCCTTGAGAAGGGAACTGCCGTTTTCTCAAATCTTATAAGAGACGTTGGTCAGAAGGTTGAGTTCTAACGTTCATCTTCTTCTCCTCGTTTTTCCTTCTCCAAAAACATAAACATAGAAGTCAGAAAGGTTGCTGCTTTCAGACTTTGGTTGAAGGGACTCCTGGGGGTGGTTTGCCTAATTCCTACCAGCAACGAAGTAGTGGGAGCAAATAACACTATAAGGAGAGTGATTAATCACGCCTTCAATCCAGTTTTCTCCATACTGTTTCCCTGACACTTCCCCCAGAAGTTCTACCTTCCCGTTGTTCTTCGACGGCAAATCGCAACTATCGGAATCTTCATCTTCTCATTTCCAACCGCCGGCCATCACTACAATTGAATCCTTTGACTAAATGAAAATTCTGCTTATAAACAAAAGTTTAATAATCTGACCCTTATTTCTCCTGTACCACATTCTCCATTTTATTTCTTTTGCCATCCTTTTGGGTTTGTGATGGGTTCTTTGAAAAATTTTTGTTTGCAATTGGGAGAAAATTTTAAAGGGAGAATTCAGCTCTTGTGCATTGATTTTGACATTTTGTGAATGAAATCAAATTAAATTTTAGTTAAAATTAATACAAGTTAAAAGCTTAAATATGAGCATATACATTTATGTGCATCTACAATGTTATCATTGGTACATCAAACGTTTCTTGAACATATATGATCATAATGCTTATAATAATTGTAAAATATATACATTATTTTTTATACATTCATATATTTATTATTCAAAGATGTATGGTGTTTCATAGGCATCCAAGTTTCATGGCATATAATATAATGCGCTATTAATTATGAATACTTATAATGTTGCATGTATTCATAGTGTTGGCGCGCACTGTAAATTATCAACCATATATTTAAAGATCAAGTCAATAGGTGAACTCTCGATCATTTGTTTTGTTTCTATAGGAGTGACAAATGTTTGTTTTTAGTTAGGTGTTATTGAAGAGATTCGAATTTGAACCTCTGAATTTAAGATCGATGGTATTACCACTGAACCCGGCCCTGTTTCGCAACCCTCGACCATATGTTAAGTGCCTTTATTGGGATAATATACATAGTCAAAATATTACCGAGACTTTATAAACCACCATGGACGGTATGATTCAAAATTATAGAATTGAATCATGATGAATTGGTATGTTAAATATTGCCATAAGGCTCTGATGGGTTTAGTTTAATAGAGAACAATTAGGAGGTCAGTAGCTTAACTTGGAAACATGTATTGTTTGCACCAATAATTAAAAATATTTGAATCTGTTCGCTATTTGATACTGATAATAACTGATATTCGGTCACGATATCAAAACCCTTCATTGAAGTTGCATCCAAAAGAAAACAAAAAAAAAATCTTTTTTTTACAACATTGAAGATTGAGAATTTAAAAAGTAACTTAATCATACATAAGGATATTTCTTTGGATTGCTTATACATTTATGGTCGATTAACAATGCAAAAAATTGTTCAGCACGTACGATCACACAAACAATAAATGACGGGCCATAGGAAAAGCTTTATTCTCACCAAATAAATCAATTAATATAAATAATAAAAAGTAACGGACCTATTGCTTACACATTCATCGTCGATTAACAATGCAAAAAATTGTTCAACACGTATGATCACATAAACAATAAATAACAGGCCTTAGAAAAAGATTTATTCTCGCCAAATAAATCAATTAATATAAATAATAAAAAGTAACGGACCCGGCCAACGGGCCGGGAAGAAAGCTAGTTTCATTTCATCAAATTTACGAGACATTTATTTAAGAAAAAAATCGATAATTAAGATATTTTGAATGTCACTTTTCACAAGTTCAAAATCACTCATTTTGCTTCTTCTTCTCAAAAGTAGCATTTGAAAAAATGTCTTATTATGTGGGATTGTGACTTGATCCTTGGACAGAGACCCAAGAAAGGCCCAATCGGCTTATTCATCAACGAGGAACTAATCAGCCTGGACAAAATCCAGGCAGAAGTCCAATTTCACGAGTTAGAGATCCAGAATAAAAGTTGGACCAAGCTCATAAAAAGCCTAAACTCAATTAGCCCGTAGGGAGAAGTCCAGCCCAAGGATTCATGATCCATTTAAGAATTATAGGAAGCTGATAAAAAAAAAAAAACGGATAAATACAAATAATTTTTGTGTGTGTGAATTTACACTTTTTATCGTTTGTTGTGTGACCAATCGAATTATCAAAACAATGATCATAAGATTGGGTGCAGGCAAAATCAGAGTACCAGAGGCATACCTTATTTTACATATATTATATTATGTTTCATATTTGTATAGGAAATCGAACAGATATTTCCCATTATACATACCAGAAAATTTCAGTACTAATAGTAGACTAGTAGTCCAATTACAATACATATGTATTCCTTATTGTTCCTTACAACACTCAAACGCCCTTACATACACTAGAATACATCAAGATGATCATTACAAACGAGGCGACGTCGCACCTCAGGGTCTAAGAGCTTATGCTAACATTCACCATAAGTGTCCCTTTGTCACACCCAAACACCATCCTGCACGCCAAAAATGTTTTTAAAAACCAATCTTTGGTGTGTTAGAATATGGAAGGAATGAAACCAATCATGAAGATTGAATTATTTTTAGGTAGGTACTTACTTGTTGGAGCCTCCCTTGTACCCAATAGCCCACACCCTTTCCAACCCGCAATTCAGTGTCTCAGTAACCCTGTGCACATAATAACTTCATAAGTTCCTCCTCTCCGAATTAAACATGATCAGTGTTTTTCTCTTATCTAAGCTGTACGTCAACGCAAGAAAGCATGGCAGTGCAAGAGAAGTTAAGATGGATATATATAATTACTTGAACGTGGTCGCATCCCATATTATCAAAGTCCCATCTTCAGAGACCGAGACGAAGATTGGAAGCTCCGGATGCGCAGCCACCGCGGTGACATTGTTCGTATGGCCTTCCAAAGTTTGTACACAACATTTCGTGTCACAGTCCCAAACCTTCACCGAGAAATCATCCGAACCACTCAGAATGTACAGCTTCTCATCATCATCATCATCATCATCATCTCCAGCTGATACCAAATAATCCACACAGTTGACTCCTTTTGCATGTCCATCCAGTGACCCGACCGCAGCAGGCGAGCCAGCGTTCCACAGCTGCAACACAAACAAAGCGAACTGATCATCAATCCACCATGTTTTCAGTATCCAAATCATCCAAAGATACACAGAGTTTGAGACATGATACGCGTACCTTGAGAGAGTTGTCGAGCGATGCAGTGGCCAAGGATTGGCCGTCCAGTGGGTTGAGAGCAACCTGCATGACGTAATGCGAGTGTCCTTCGAGGACTCGAGTGCATTCCCAGTCTCTCTCCCAATCCCACATCTTCACCACCTTGTCGTCACCGGCGGACAGCAGGAGTGGAAGCGTCGGGTGTGGGCAGAGACTCCTGATGAAATCCTCGTGTGCATGAAACTCCTTCACCAGCTCCGTGGTGGTTTGATCGTAGACTCGGATCTTGCCGTCCTCGGATGCGGTCACGATCCACTGCTTCCTTGGGATGAACTTGGCTGATCTCACGGGAAAATCCGTGGCCTTAAATGACTTCACCACTGCCTGGAAAACCAAAGTTTGTTTATATGGGTTAATTTAATTTCTACGTCTCAGGATGGAATGAATGGAGAGAAAGAAGTTGAGATATATCTTTCTTACTTGAGTCTGGAAGTTGAGAATGCGGACCTCTCCTGAATGCATGCTCAGCAGAATCCATGGCTGAGTTGGATGGAATTCTACCGACTTCACCCTCTCCGAAGCTTGGGAAAATGTTTTCTGTCACATAAAACAATTTTGGATCAATATTATGTATAAGCATTTTCTTTAGCACGAGTCCTACTAGTTCAGATAAGAGGAGAGAGATAGGGAGAGACGTGGAAATATTTGGTACCTCAATTTGAAACGCCTGAGATTAGTTCAATTGATCCCAATTCCAATGTGTTTGGAAACAAAGTTCCAAGGGCAGAAAGAAGAAGAACAAATGGAGCAACACTGTTAGTAAATTGAGTACAAGAGAAAATAAAAGAACAAAAAAGTAATACTGACATTGATTATTTTTTTAAAAATTCGAATATAATATATGGTGGATGGTCACACTTATCAAATCGAAATTTACGAACGAAACGTTACAAAACCGAAAAAAAGGTGGAATGAGAGTTAAGAAGTGGTCGAAGCATGCATAAATTAGAGTCTCACCATTAATCCTTTTTCTGTTCTGCTTTCACAAACTTGATGACCGAAGCTAGCTATTTATTTAATTTGGCTGTGGTTTGGGTGTTGATGATATGAAGAAGTCTGTGGGGAAGTATATATAGGGCTTGGAGATAGAGGGGGAACTGCATGCAGATGAATCCTTTGTGGCTAAGGAAAGAAACTAATTACTGATTGGTCACAGGATGGGTCAAACAATACTGTTTGATTTCTTCGATGAGACTTTTCAGCTGCCTGCTCGATCGCATCATTAAATTCATGCTGGCCGTTGATGGCTACACATGGACTGGGATCGACGGCTGATACTTTGAGTCTTCGCAAAGCGTGTGGACTGGCACACTGTGGGTGAATGGATGGAAGTCGCTCTCTTAGATAAGTCGAAGAGAAGGCCTGCCTGCCTTGTTCTACGAAGGTTGTGTTGCCAAGCCCCACCACCACGGCTGGTAGTGTTATGTCCTCGTGACGTGACAACTATTTGTATTCTACTTTCCTTCTGTAATACTTGAAGTTTAGCGTAAGTTTTAGTTTTGATTCGAATTTAAAATAATACAATCGTGCACTACAACAAAACTTGACTTTAGAGACATAAGTTATTTGCAAATGACTACAACAAAACTTGACTTTAGAGACATAAGTTATTTGCAAATATGTAATATCTGTTACTGATTAAGAAATTAGACGCAAATTTATTTGATACAAATTCTATTATTAAAACATATACTTTGCTCCTTCGAATGCTTTTAGAGACAGATGTAATTGTTTCTCATTCTAGCTTTTGGGACAACCCTATTTGCTCCTTTATTTACTTTTAAAGACAAATGAAATTGTTTGCCATTCTAGTTTATGAGAGAACTTTATTTGTTTGTAAAAAGCCCAATGAAGACATAGATTATACATTCCGAGACAAATAAATTTGTTGGTATTTCAACTTTTTGCGTGTCCATTTTTCTATTAACATCGTTTAATTACTATTTTATTATACCAATAAAGCTTTAATAGAGGAAATTTGCTAATATTAAACAAGAAACAAAAGCTTCTTACATATATGTAGGGCTGGCTATTTGGACCGGGACCGGATGAAAAACCGGAAACCGGACCGGGACCGGATAGTAAACCATCCAATCCAATCTTTGAGCTTAGATTTGAGGTAAAAAATCGGATAAAGACCGGATAAAAGAGCTCAACATCCAAAACTTAAGGGTAATTTGCATAAACGGTCACAAACCTTTGCACTTAGTGCAAAATTTAACCAACTCCTCACCCTTTTAGGCCTTAGGCCACTCAAATTCCCACAATCTCAATATAAAATCAAGACCGAATTGGGACCGGACCGGGTCAAGACCGGACTGTATCCAATCCAATCTTCGGTCCTTATATTTTCAAAAAAACTGGACTGAACCGGATCAATTTGGGCCAATTTAACCGGACCGGACCGTATAGCCACCCCTACATATATGTATAATCAACGGCGGCTAATACAACAAAACTAGTACAATAGAGTACACAAAGGAAAAATAATACAATAAAAAGGACGAGAACCGACATAAACACCGCAGCCATGGATTCTTTTAGTGAAAAAGTAAAGACCACAAGAACTAGGAATTTGTGTAGCCTCGGTACATATATGTATAATCAACGGCGGCTAATACAACAAAACTAGTACAATAGAGTACACAAAGGAAAAATAATACAATAAAAAGGACGAGAACCGACATAAACACCGCAGCCATGGATTCTTTTAGTGAAAAAGTAAAGACCACAAGAACTAGGGATTTTTCCAGAAATAGCACCATTAAAAAAATTACAAAAATAGCACCGAGGCTACACAAATTCTAAAAGTAGCACCCTTTTGTAAAACCACACGGCCAAGGTGAGGTATACATACAAATCGCACCTTGAACAGGCGGTTTGCTTTCTGACCTACCAGAATCGCATCCTAGCAAGGCAGTTCTTAGGCTGACCTAGCAAAACCGCCTGCTGAGGATGCGATTCTGTTTCTCTAACACAAACTGCATCCTCAGGGTGCGGTTTTCATTTGCCGACACACAAATCGCACCCCCCTGCGGTTTGTGTGTCGTCCCCATTTTCCCGACAGCCAGCATGTTGGCCATGCAGGTTGACAGACGTGGGGCTGCATGGCAGATGAAAATCGCAGCCTCCCCCTGCGGTTTTCAGTGATGAAAAGCCTATAAAAGGCAGCCCCGATAAACCTCTTCTCTTCACACTTCTCCTTCTTCTTTTTCATCATCATCTTCTTCTTCTTCTTCTTCTTCAATTTTCTGTTGTAGCACCCTACTTTTTATTGTTTTTGCGATTAACGTTAACTCGTAAGTTTATTTTGTATTACTTTTTATTGTGATTTGAGATTTTTATGATTTTAACTGAATTACGGTTTTATTGCAGATGACATTCCAAAAGTTCAAACTTGGGTTACGTTGGAATGGTTACACGGAAGAGACCGGAAAGGGGGTCACCTACGTCGGTGGCAATTTTCAGAAAATAAAGGTACCAGACCGATGCTTGAAGACCTCCATCAAATGTGTACTAACTTTACTTGCATGGATGGCACGAGAAGAGTTGATCGGATGGTATACCGATATCCAAACAGAGAAGTCGGGTCTTTGTGGCATGATGAATATCTCATAACCACTCAGGATGAAGTAGATGCCATGCTCGAATTCTCGAGGTCCAATAATCTTTCCAAAGCCGAGATGTTCGTTTACACCGAGGCGGTCGAAGGCGTTGGAGGTCATTCTGGAGACGGGCAAACATCTGGTATCCATGGTGGAGGTGAATTATATGGAGATCATCCATACCAAAGTTACCATGATCCTCATTCCTACTTTCAGTACCAAGAGCAAGGTGAAGCTCATCATCAATCTTTCCCATCATATGAAGAAGAAGTTCAATGACACCATGCCAACCAACCCGAGTACAACTTCCATTCAGGCAGCGACAGTTTTCACAACTACCATTACGGAGTTGATGAAGGTGCCTTTCATGATCTGGATCAGATGGAAGATGTCCTGCCAAAACCAGTTAGTGACCCCTCCGATGAAGAAGAAAGGAGCAATGTTAGTGCAGACAGCTCCGACCCTCTTGAAGGTGCTGATGATTCAGGAGGCCCAGAGTCAGACTCAGATGATGATAAGGTGTCTCGTGACCGTGTACCTATTCTGTACTACACTCACATTCCAGAAGTTAATTGGTGTGTCGATAGCGACATGGGGCCGCCAGAGGTCCCAATATGGGGTCCACTCACTGGGTTTATGAAGGGCCAACAATTTGGTTCGAAGAAGGAGGTGCGACACGCCATTTAAACTTAAGCAATGACTCGACATTTTGAATGGCACACAACTCATTCCAACACGAAGAGGCTCACAGTCAGATGTCGTAATCAACAAGAGGGATGCAATGCTAGGATTCGAGCCATCAACAACAAGAGACACGGCTATTGGGTCATATCCCGTGCGGTGAACACACACTCATGTGTCTCATCCATAATATCCCAAGACCATCGACAGTTGAAATCCAGGGTGGTGGCCGCTGCTATCAAGCATCTAATTGAGCAAGATCCTGACCTGAAGGTGAAAGTCATAATCGCTGACATTACAAGTCGTTATGGTTATATTATCAACTATAAGAAGGCGTGGCATGGAAAGCAGAAAGCTCTGGCCGCCGTGTTTGGTGATTGGGAAGAATCATATGCATTCCTTCCCAGGTTGATTTTGGCATTGGAGGCGTCTAACCCTAGCACAGTTTTCTCCCCTTGATACCAAGATGAAGAGATACAGCCGCCAGAGCACGGTGACAAACGCCATTTCAAATGTCTTTTTTGGGCATTCAAGCCATCTATTGATGGTTTTGGATTCTGTGTCCCTGTGATCCAAGTGGATGGTACATTCCTTACCGGCAAGTACAAGGGCACTCTTCTGATTGCCAGTGGTGCGGATGCAAACAGACAAGTATTTCCTTTAGCCTTCGCTATTGTTGAGGGAGAGAATGCCGATAGCTATGGATGGTTTTTCTGGCAAATTCATCTCCACGTCGCCAGGAGAACGAACCTGACAATCATCTCTGATCGACACCCCGGCATCAGAGCTGTCATCTTAGGTTTGGATCTAGCCTGAAAGTGGTCCCAAAGGTGGTGCATACAACACTTCAAATCCGATTTTCCCAGGGAATGGGTGTATCATGATAATCGCTTAAAATCCCATTTTCTTAGGCATGCATCTCTTTATAAAGAGTCTAAGTAAGTGGCGTTATGTATTCGATTAAATTATTGAACCAATAAGATTAAAAATGATCCAATTTATTTTATATTCCACTAAGTACGTTAACAAATTAAAACAAAGAGAAATGATGAGGAATCATATGTACCTCGTGATCTTTCCAAACATCCCTTGAACGATGGTTGGGTTGGTCGTACAACACGGTTGGATCACTAGGCCCTTGATCAACATAATACCGTTGGTTGTATATATCCATGTCGTCCCCAACCTACGAGTGAATAACAACAACATTAGTACATAGATTATATGAAAAGGTTATAACAACAACATTTGGTAAATGAGTACGTACCGCTTGAAATTCATCATAATAAATTCCCTCTTCTTGGAACCACTCGTCCATTTTTTCGCGAAAGTCGGACAGAGATTCGGCGGGTTTTGAAGGAAAAGCGAAAGAAATGTTTTCTGATGGCAGATCGGACTTAGCCGCAACCAACAGACCACTATTTCCTAGACTTTTGGGAGGGGAGGGGATGGATAGAGAGATAATTTTAGAGAGAGAGGAGAATGAGTTGTGGTGTGAAAAAATGAGGAGGGGAAGGGGGATATTTATACATTTCAGACCGCACCCTTCAGGGGCGGTCTCGTAATTTTGCCCATTACAAAACCGCACTAGGAAAGTCCGGTTCACGGCGACCGAGGCGGTGACCGTTCGCCAGGCGCGCGGTATTCTATCCCTGACGCGGATCGCTGCGCTGGCGCGCGGTCAGCCGTTGGATCGCCCCTTCATCCAACGGTGCTGGGGACCGCCGACTCGGGAACGCGGACCGCACACTGAGAGTGTATTTTTCGGGCTGCCCTAGCGTGGACCGCTCCCCCGTTGTGCGGTTTGCACATAAAAGGAACCTTGAAGGTGCGTTTTATATGTAAAGGTGCTATTTTTGAAATTTTTGTGGGTTTGGTGCTATTTTTGTATTTTTTTTAAAAGGTGCTATTATTGGAAAAATCCCCAAAAACTCTAATATGCAAAAAAAGTCGTAATTTTTTTAATATAGCACATCCCCACTCAAACCATCGTCAACGTCTACCACCTCTCAAAGCAAAAACCTTCTGATCCATCTTGCTTTGTTGAAGTCTGGACTGGCTGCACACACATAACTACATAAGCTTCCTAGGTTGCAAGGTATACCAACATTAGAGGTATGAAAACATCGTACACTCACGATTCCAAACTATAAACACGAACTTACTAGCTCAGGCCTCAGCTTATGAGTTTTTTTGGGGATGAATCCATCTTGTAAGCTTCTAAGCAATCCCATTGTGACGCACATTAATCCTTATCACTATCATCTAAACCTTGTTAGGTCTGTGCTGATGAAATACGTATAAGCCATAGTAATCTGACAAAAAGTGCAGAAGTCTGCCTTTTTAGCACAAGTTTAATCTCCCTGGCCTTCAATAACTCACATACTATTCCCGAATTTGTTCATGCCAAGTGATTTTTAGTAGCCTGTATTTCAGAAATGCTCTTTCTTTTGCTTGAATAAAGAAGAAGAAATTATGCACCTAAAGCTACAATCTTATATATTTGGTACTCATGACATATTCAACAATCATTCCCATAACCAATGCGGCTTCAAGATAAACGCTTAACAACCAATTTATGTCGAAGAACACTATACCTGATTGAATAGAGTGGTAATTGTAAAACCTCCAGATCAAATGTATTATCCAATCAATGAACAATTGAAGACCCAGTAGGAACCTTATGAACAACATCACACCGCATCACAATCTCCACAACTCCTTTCCTCCCCTTTCTTCTCCACCTCAATCTCAACACATCAAATATCAGAGCATCTTTTGGCCTCAAGAAGATTACACATCAAAACGAAGCATAGCAAAGAAGATGGTCCTCGATGGCTATGGCCTACGCAATTTTAGTAGCAATTACAAAAATTGACTCTATTTTGAATTATTTTATATTTATTAATAATAATAAACTTTGATACAGTAGCAAATAAGTCTATAAAAGGATCAAATAATTTAATAGTCTCAAATGCTTATCTTTAGAGGCTAATATAGCAATTGCTTCTAATTATGTGTCTCTAAAAGTAAGTTTTCTTGTTGTGGTGATTAATTTTGAAAATGAGGAATAAATTTAGTCCAAAATTTGAGTTGACCATTAAAACTAACGATCAAACATTTTCATCGTGACTCACCAATTAGAATGAAATCGACCACTAATAACAGACGGGCCATCATTCAACAATCGAGAAAGAGATATCATAGCTTGTAGCGTGTCCCTCACGAACTTCACCAGTGATCCTTAAAAAAATTTCCAACATCATAAAAAAAACAAAGGTTTTAGGCCACTATTGTTGCATGGAGCTTTCAACAAGAACATAAGTAGATGGCTCATGGCCACATGAACATATGAGTTTGAGTAGCATTTCGCCACATTCTTACACCTCCCTGTTGCAAGAGTTGAGAGCTTGTTTCCCATATCATTGAGTTGGCTACCGTCATAAATATAGCCATATAGGAGCATTTCTACTATACTATAAAGCATTGATTTTTTAATGTACAACTTAAACTTGTACCATAATGTTCAATATATAAGTTCAGGTTGTACCATACAGGAATTTGAATCATTATGTTATGGTACAACTTGAAATTGTACCATCACATGATGGTACAATTTCAAGTTGTACCATAAAAGAAATTGTACAACAGAGTATAGGTATAATTTGAAGTTGTACCATAAATTTTTTTTAATAATGGTGAAATCATTTATTATTTTAAAAGGAAACAAAGAAAATAAAATACAACCAAAACTGGGTGCCGTGAAAACACTTTAGCCTCCTAGACACACATAGCAAAAGAAAAGAACACTCAAGAGAGTCACCTCACAAAGGCATAATATATACGAGGTACCCTACTACCATTAAGTTCCCAGAAGAACAGCAGAAAAGCACTTTGCTGAAGACATCCCCATTTACAAGGCATTCGATGTCGTCCCAGCTCTCCAAAGAATCAATGTTGCAGAACCTAAACTGCTGTTGGTAACAATTGTGCTTTTAACTTCCTCATCCATTCTTCTTATATTGCTCTTTCCACATTTTCGTTAGCACATAACCAATCCTTTATGGCTCGACCAATTCGGAAATAGACAAATCACTCGAACCCTCCTCTCGACTCTCACTTTCTTTCTCAAGATTTCTCTCTCTCTCATTGCCCTTATCCTTATGTACCATAATGTAAAGGTACAACTTCAAGTTGTACCATAAAGGAAAAAACCTATATCACCAATACTATATAGCATTGTAAAATTCCTCTAAATATAGACCCATATAAAGCACTCCCGTGTTATTTTCTTCATGATGTTGTCGTCCTCCACAAACTCTCGCCTATTGTTTTGTAGTCCCATAATTTGGTCATCTGTTTTTCGCCTCATAGTTTGAGTGTGGAAGTATTTAGTGTTGTCTCTAAAAGAAATGTTTTCGACTTCAAGTCTTTTATTTTGACACCAAATGAGCTTTTCCTATAGGAGAACAACTTCTAAGACTTGTCTTAACCGATCAAGTGGCACAAAATCACCCAATTAGCCAGTATTTGTTTGGTCTTCAATTTTTAGTGGAAATACTGGCAAGTGATGTAAAAAACACAACTGATAATCCTAGATGTGTTTTAGGGTCGTATTCCTTGAGATCTTCTAATGCTTAACTACTCAACCAACCACCATGACAAACAGGAATTGAACAAGCAAACAAGAAGAGTAAAGTTGTTTAGGGTTTTTGATTTATAGATGTATTAAAGTAAATATACTTTCTTGTAATGGATTGTGAATTCAAAGATGATCATGCAAACTAGGGTTGATTCATATCATGCATCAATGGTTCATCTATTGCAACACCTTATCACTTCCCCTAAGACCACTCTTCACCCGTGCATGCACTTGTTGCAATAGAGACTTAACTAACTAATGCATGCTTTTGCTTCATGTTATTAAATAATTAATGATGAGAAATGAAGTTACATATAGTTAATTGTGGGTTTCTACGAACCATAACTATAGTCTATAGCATCGATGATCTACCAATCAAGCATTAATACTACTCTAAGCATAGATGGGTGATCAATCCTCCCCTACTCATGTAGCATCAATGGGGTATCCATAGAAGGTAATTTCTTGACAATCTAGGCAATACTAAGCACAATGCATATAGTAGCATACAATAGAATCATAAGCATTGTTGGTATTAAGAGCATTTATACCATAGAAAAAGCAATGACCATCATAAGCATAAAAAACAATAAAACAATCAACGATCATCATATCCATCGAATTCATAGACACCCACAAGAATGAGATGAAATCACAACATTCATTCACATAACAATAACAAAATTATATCCTAATACAATTAGTTTTGATTAGATACATAGAGGAGAATGAAGGTACCACCTTTGGTGAAGACACCATCTCCTTAGCTATAGATCCCTCTACTTCGACTAGACCAGGCACTCGTGTATAGTGTTACAAAGATTTGTTTGTTTGTGCACCCATACTCTTACAATAGAGTCATGCCCTCACTATTTATAGGGGAGAATCCGACCAAAATCAATGGTGCACCCTAATATAGGCTACTAAACCCCCTTATACAGATACTAGTCTTTTTTATATGCTAATAATTGGCTTAGTGACTCCTTCCGATCATGCGCCATGCAACAAAGACTGCTAATAATTTAGTTTTATGAGAAAACCTTTCATCAACAATTTTTCCAAATTACTAAAAGGGTAATTTATTAGTACCGTCATGATCAACTGACACGCCATTACTATTACTCTTATTAGTTTGATTATTCTCACCCCATCCCTAAGTAGCCGAACACGTGTATGGCAAATGGAAATTGCCAAAATTCCATGTGTCAGCACGACAAAAATAGAATTATAGATTGAGTGAGAATAGAGTTATCACAAAACTGAAAATAAAACAAAAATAGTAACTGAGAAAACGAAATTAAGAAAGGAAAGTGAATGACGGTGAGTAAACTCAAGGGAGAGAGAGTATAACATAAGGAGGTGCAACTAGTTCGGGAGTTTGTATGAACAATTCTCCCAAACTCTAAAACTAGAAACCCCGAAGAATAACTGTAGGGGGGTTGGTTATAAAAATGAGCAACAGAAAGTGTAAACAAATCATCAAATCTCTCTCATTGTCTTCTTTCCCATTGCCTTCTCTAATGTTGTGTATTTAAGCAAAGGGAACTCCCCTCAATAATCAGAAGACGCCAATAGTGTGACCAGAAAGAATAAAACACCCATCCCCCACTCAATAAAACACTACTTGCATACATAAAAAGGATAAAAAGAACAAAAACACAAAAGCCAAAAAGAGAATAAAGAGAGTGGTTGCTACTGGTTAGGAAAAAAAAAACAAAAGACGACGATGTCGATCAGCTTAGAGGAAATCAAGAAGGAGAATGTCGACCTTGTGAGTCTTTTGATCATATTGTGTGACATGCTATATGTTTTTTCATGCAAGAATTTTTTATTTCTAACATTATTATTAATTAATATTTGTATGTATAGGAGCGCATTCCGGTCGACGAAGTGTTTCAACAACTTCAATGCTCGAGGAGCGGTCTAACATCCGATGAAGGACAAAAGCGATTGCAAATCTTTGGGCCTAACAAGCTCGAAGAGAAGAAAGAAAGCAAGTTCCTCAAGTTTCTTGGTTTCATGTGGAACCCTCTTTCATGGGTCATGGAGATTGCAGCCATCATGGCCATTGCTTTGGCCAACGGAGGAGTACGTTGCACTCTTTTACCTACTGATTTTTTTTTGTCTCAAACAAAGAGATTGAGATGCAAGGACTCACTTGAGAAACATCTCAAATTATTTTGCAGGGCCAACCACCAGATTGGCAAGATTTTGTTGGTATTGTTACACTCCTTATCATCAACTCCACTATAAGTTTCATCGAAGAAAACAGTGCCGGCAATGCCGCAGCTGCTCTCATGGCTGGGCTAGCTCCCAAGACAAAAGTTTTGAGAGACGGGAAATGGTCGGAACAAGAGGCTGCCATCTTGGTGCCCGGTGATGTTATCAGCATCAAGTTGGGTGACATCGTCCCCGCTGATGCTCGTCTCCTCGAAGGTGACCCTTTGAAGATTGATCAGTCTGCACTCACCGGAGAGTCCTTGCCCGTCACCAAGAACCCAGGAGATGAAGTTTTCTCTGGATCCACCTGTAAGCAGGGTGAGATTGAAGCTGTCGTCATTGCCACTGGAGTTCACACCTTCTTCGGCAAGGCTGCTCACCTAGTTGATAGCACTAACCAAGAAGGACATTTTCAGAAGGTTAATTTCAACAATCACAAAATAATTTCCATCACCTAATGGTCATAATTATTGAACGAAAAGAGATTATTGTTTCTTGTAGGTGTTGACAGCGATTGGGAACTTCTGTATTTGCTCGATCGGATTGGGTATGATAGTTGAGATCATTGTAATGTACCCCATTCAACACAGAAGGTATAGAGACGGTATCGATAATCTCCTTGTGCTTCTCATCGGAGGAATCCCAATTGCCATGCCTACGGTGTTGTCAGTAACGATGGCTATTGGGTCTCACCGCCTCTCTCAACAAGGTGCCATCACCAAGAGAATGACAGCCATTGAAGAAATGGCTGGGATGGATGTCCTGTGCAGTGACAAGACTGGAACTCTCACACTCAACAAGCTTACAGTGGACAGAAGTCTGGTCGAGGTGTTTGTGAAAGATTGCGACAAGGAACAACTATTGCTTCTTGGTGCCAGAGCATCCAGGGTTGAGAATCAGGATGCAATCGATGCTTGCATCGTTGGGATGCTTGGTGACCCTAAAGAGGCCAGAGCTGGAATCCAAGAGGTCCATTTCTTGCCCTTCAACCCAGTTGACAAAAGGACAGCTATTACCTACATTGATGGACAAGGCAACTGGCACAGAGTTAGCAAAGGTGCTCCAGAGCAAATCATTGAACTCTGCAACCTCTCTGAAAGTGCCAAGAAGAAGGCTCTTTCCATCATTGATAAGTTTGCTGATCGTGGGCTTCGCTCATTGGCTGTCGGCCGACAAGTAAATATCAATCAAATAAAAATTCACTTTATTTTATATAAATTCCTTTTAACTAAGTGCTTTTGGTTGTCTTTGGTTTTATAGACTGTGCCAGAGAAGACCAAGGAAAGTGCTGGAGGGCCATGGCAATTTGTTGGTCTATTGCCTCTCTTTGATCCACCAAGGCACGATAGTGCCGAGACCATCAGGCGAGCTCTCCACCTTGGTGTCAATGTTAAAATGATCACTGGCGACCAACTGGCTATCGGAAAAGAGACGGGGCGTAGGCTTGGTATGGGAACCAACATGTACCCATCATCAGCTCTCCTTGGCCAAACCAAGGATGAATCCATCGCCACTATTCCAGTGGACGAGCTGATTGAGAAGGCCGATGGGTTCGCTGGGGTGTTCCCAGAACACAAGTACGAGATTGTGAAGAGGCTTCAAGACATGAAACACATATGCGGTATGACCGGAGATGGTGTGAATGATGCTCCCGCGCTCAAGAGAGCGGACATTGGAATTGCTGTGGCTGATGCAACTGATGCTGCTAGGGGTGCCTCCGACATCGTCTTGACCGAGCCAGGGCTGAGTGTGATTGTTAGTGCAGTGCTCACCAGCAGAGCCATCTTCCAAAGGATGAAGAACTACACCATTTATGCAGTCTCCATCACGATCCGTATTGTGCTCGGATTTATGTTGATTGCCCTCATTTGGAAATTTGATTTCTCCCCCTTCATGGTTCTAATCATCGCCATCTTGAATGATGGGACGATTATGACCATATCCAAGGACAGAGTGAAGCCATCCCCTTTGCCTGATTCGTGGAAGCTCAAGGAGATCTTCGCCACTGGAGTTGTGTTGGGGACATACTTGGCCGTCATGACTGTTCTCTTCTTCTTTGGCGCTTATGGCTCTGACTTCTTCAGCGTAAGAAAAACTGAAGAAACAAAAAAAAACATAATTTAACGTTATATTGACCCTAATAAATAAATTTGTAAAAACTCACTTTACAGGAAAAATTTGGAGTGAGGTCAATCAGGCATAGCCCAGATGAGCTGACAGCAGCTGTGTACCTCCAAGTGAGCATTGTGAGCCAGGCTCTCATCTTTGTGACTCGCTCTAGAAGCTGGTCCTTTGTTGAACGCCCTGGCGTTATGCTTATGATTGCCTTCCTTATTGCGCAACTGGTGAGTTGACCCTTCATCAACTTCATTTCACTTTGGGAGGGGGGGGGGGTTTAGCCGACCATTATGTGCTTGGTTGACTTAATAATTGTTATTAATTTTGATCAATATTTTGCTACTATCACAACAGGTTGCAACTTTAATAGCAGTTTACGCTAGCTGGGGATTTGCAAGGATCAAGGGGATCGGATGGGGATGGGCTGGAGTCATCTGGCTATACAGCCTCGTCTTCTACTTCCCACTTGATATTCTCAAGTTCATAATCCGATATGCATTGAGTGGAAAGGCATGGGACAACCTCGTCCAGAATAAGGTACGCTAACAGAAACTCCAACAATCCTCATTCTGAAGCTAAACGTGTTTGGACAGAAAAAAATTGGTTGCTAAATATGAATCTAATTATTTATATTTATATTTTATACCTGTAGACTGCTTTCACCAACAAGAACGACTTTGGAAAAGGCGAGAGGGAAGCACAATGGGCAGCGGCTCAGCGCACCTTGCACGGGCTCCAGCCAGCAGACACGGCGGAACTGTTTGCCGACAAAAACAACTACAGGGAGCTATCTGAGATCGCTGAGCAAGCCAAGAGGCGTGCAGAGGTGGCAAGGCTGAGGGAGCTCCATACCCTCAAGGGACATGTTGAGTCGGTTGTGAAGCTCAAGGGTTTGGACATTGAAACTATCCAACAACACTACACCGTCTGATCGGTGATGGTTTACTAACTACGCTGTTTGATTGGGAGAAGAGATTGCCGTTGAGTGGGAGCTAAGTTCCCTAAGAAGTTTTGAGTGCATCACCTCGTTGATCAACCAGAGTATTAAGTAGGATTTTGTTTTAGAATAAATGAAAAAAAGTTGGATACACTTTTTACTATTCTTTATGATGTAATAGTTGCTTAAGAATAATCCATCGTATGAGATTGGACATAATATATGTATGTAACAATCTTGGGGGTTGGAAAACTGTATTATTTCATTGAGGTAGTAGTAAGATTTCTATTTTTTTCGCTTACATTCATGCTCTCTCTCCCTTTCTAGCCTAATTTCATTCTTTTAGATAATCAGTTAGCGCGAAAATTTTAACATTAGGATTACCAACTTATACACTAAAAATGCGTGGTTGTGGTTTTAAATATTTTTATTTATGTTAAAATATTTACATATTCTCTAACATTAAGTAATCGACCCCATTAACACCAAAAGTAACACCAAAATCCATTATCCAAATGCCCTTAGAATATTTTTTAAATATCCATGGTTTTTTTACGAAATCATAAATCTTTGTTTTTAAAATTATATTTTCATCACAAGTGATTGTATGTTTCAAACTTAATATGTGATGAATTTTATCCTTGCATATTACCAATTGACCAATCCCTTGGAGTTTTTTATGACTACTGAGTCCATTGGTTAGTCTGGTGTGATTAGCCCTTTCCATCAAGAATTATGGTATCCCTTGGGAGTTGGTGAGTTTCATTAAATCTTCGAGTTTGGTGACAGTTGTGTTTAGTAAGAAGTTGTCAAGATTGGAGTGGTTGTAGGCTAATATAGAGATTATCCCAAAATTGTTTTTAGGGGTCTAACACCAATATCATTTTACTCTCTTCCTCGTCATGGAATGAAAACATTTGAACTATAACCTTAGAATTTAAGATTTGACCATTATAAAAGCCTTCAATCCTCACATGTCATTTCGGCTTTTATTGACCACAACTTTGTTTGGAGACAAATATTTGTTACCAATGAACTAGCATTTGAGATATAGTGGGGAGCTTGGAATGGATACAGTGGCCATATAAGGTGAAATTTGAGTTTGTTTACTTCCATGGTGAGAGGTAGCATTGACAAATTCTTCATTGTGTCAATATTTCAGATTTTCATTTACTCGAACTCTTAGAAGACGTCAACAACAAGATTTCGCGACAAATTGTTTGCAAGTGCAACTCAGGTTCAACTTTGGAGCAATTCTCCAACTTTGCTTGCACTATTTCACCTCTGTCAACTCTAGAATTCATCATCGATCAGCTCTATTTGTTGTTGAAGAATTCTGCCTAACTGAATAGTTTTTGAAAACACAAATGTCCACAATATGTTGAGCCCTTAAGTTGATGTTGTTCAGTGTATAAATTTAAACATAATAAAATTATTTATATGTCCACTATCATGTCAAATATTCATGTTAAACTTAGATTTAGATCAATGAATGCTAACGTTAAAGAACATAATACTAATATGAAAACGATTTGTACACATTTGTTTGACTAAAGCGCTAATTTATTTCACTCATTTTCATTGAAAATGGTAAGAAATTCAAACTATATGTCAATGTTTCTATCTTAAATATAGCCTTACTTTGGTAGGTCTCCCGTTTTTGAACGAGCTCTTTTGAAATATTACAATGATGGTGAGAGTTGCATGAGAATCACTACATTGTTGATGATCATATTTAAGATATTTCGTTTGGACACCAAATAGAAACCAATACATTATCCAGTTAAGTACGGGTGACAAATCTCCTGAATGCTTTCTCATTCAAATCATATAATTTGAATATATAATTCGTGCGATAATCAACAAAAAAGATAGAAATTGGAAAACAAATATATCATGGATACATTTAACTCGATCAGAGGACAATAATTTTTTATTCAACGGTGAAAATTGATTATACAGGTATCATATGAAGCAATTCTCATGTTTTTATTCATGGAGATTTTATATAAGCAACATTTTGTTTGTAGACTTATATGTCACTATTAATTGCATTTCCCTGCTAGTCATTTTGTCTTTCTCATGATTTGATTACGTTCTAAGCGACTTTTTTTTATGAAAATGCTTATGTTTTTATTAATTGTGGGAAAAGTCTGTTACACTAGCTTCCTTTTGTAGAAGGCTCACAATGGAATCTGGTGGACTATCAACCCAAATTCTTTCCCCTTCCCATTCGCAATCCAAGTGGGCCATAATATGAGCAGGCTCATTCAGTTTTCTGCCTACAAACTTCCACTCAAAACGGCCCATCTCTGAAGCCCGCTTCTTTGTTTCCTCTCAGACCCAGCCTACTTCCAACATCCACTGTCTTTCACCTCTCAGCATTCTCTCCACCGTTTGGCAGTCTGTCTACAACTCACTGGAGAGGAAATGATACCGGCCGGCCAAATCAATCCTGAAATCCACCGCCATCGCTTCGGCGAGTTCTGGGTCCCAACATCGCCTTGTTCGCTTAATCGCCGCCAGACAAAAAACACCCTTCTTATCTCTCACAACCACCTCCAATCCAGTTCCCTGCTCCGACAAACAAGCCGCATCGACATTAATAGCGAACTCCGTCGTCGCCGATGGGGACCATCGGGTTTGCTTCTTCCGCGGTGGGTTCTCTCTTTCCCTGTGCCTCCCGGTATTCATCTAACCATCTGCATGCCCTGGCTATAATCTCCCATTCTTCCATTTTTGGTTTGTTCCACAATTGACAATTTCTCTGATCCTAGATGAACCAGAGCGCCACTAGGAGTTGTTCGATCTGCTCATCTCCCTCTGTCTCTTGCATCTCGCATAGACACTCCTCAGAGGTAAGATTATCTCCCTTCAAGAACATAGAATTTAGTGGGCTAGGTCGCCAAACTCGTCTGACCCAACCGCAATCTCTAAAAATATGATCTTGAGTTTCCTTGAGATTGCAAAAGGGACATCCTTCATTTCCTTCTTGAATCCGATCAGCAATTTTAGCTCCTGTAGGGAGGATATTTCTGGCCCACTTCCACGCAAAAACTTTAACCTTTTGTGGTATCTGGAGCTTCCAAAGTCTGTCCCAGTTTACTGGAGAATAGATTTCACCCCTCTGCTCCGCGTCCCTGTTTACCCACAGCTTATAGGCAGATTTGACAGAAGAGTCTCCCGACTTTTCCATAGCCCAAACTCTCTCATCTCTCCTCATTACCCTTGGAATGGGGATTTTGAGGATGTTGTCCACATCTTCCTGCAGGAAGTGAGCTTGTAAAAGCTCCAAATTCCAAGAATGCTCTTCAAAATTAATCAATTCAAACATAGAGGTGTACTCTCCAATGGGGAAAACTGGTGTCTTGATTTTGAAATCCTGCGCTGCTGGCACCCATTTATCCTGCCAGATATCGATGCTACTCCCATTCCCTAGCCTCCATCTGTATCCTCTAGCCACTAAGTCTTTGGCAGAAAGCAAACCCCTCCAAATAAAGCTTGGATTGTAACCCAGCTCAGCCTCCATGACATCCCTGTTCTTATGATATTTTGCCTTTAACACTCTAGCCGCGAGAGAGCTTGGATTGGATATAAGTCTCCACACTTGTTTGCCAAGCAGGGCTTTGTTAAAACTCTGGAGGTCTTTAAAACCAAGCCCTCCTACCTTCTTAGGTTTGCACAACTCTTCCCAACGCAGCCAATGTGTTCTACCTTCTTCTTCTTGTTGTCCCCACCAAAAGTTGGCAATTAAACCCTGAATTTCTTGTAAAGTACCTACTGGTATCTGGAAAAGTGACATAGCATATGTCATCTGGGCTTGTGCCACAAATTTGATGAGAATCTCTTTTCCACCAACTGATAGCAGACTTCCCTTCCAGTGCTTAACCTTTTGACGTACCCTATCAACCAGATAGCCAAACACAGCTTTCTTCTCTCGTCCTACTCTTGTCGGCAAACCCAAATATTTCTCATGGACTTCTACCACCTTCATTCCTAGGATGGCTGCCAACTGTTCCCTTGTCTCCAATTTAATGTTTGGACTGAAAGACAACTCTGAAATCACTAGATTTACTTGCTGACCAGACTCGATTTCATAGAGTCTTAGAATATTCTTCAGTTTTTCGCACTCCTGTTTAGTAGCCTTAGTGAAAAGAATGCTGTCATATGCAAACAAAAGATGGGAGATGACTGGTGCTTCTCTCCTCACTCTCAGCCCACTGATCTGTTTATTCCTTTCTGCCTGAGAAATAATACCAGAAAGACCTGCAACAAGTAGAAACAGGTAGGGAGAGATGGGATCTCCCTGCCTAAGTCCTCTGGTAGGAGTAAACACCTCGGAGGGATGACCATTTACTAATATCGAAAAAGAGACTGTGGAAACACATGTCATAATAAGATCTATCCATCTTCTAGCAAACCCTAGTTTAACCATGATAGCCTCAAGAAATTCCCACTCAACCCTGTCATAGGCTTTAGTAATATCCAGTTTTGCAGCCATGTATCCCATCTTTCCTTGTTTCTTCTGAGCCATTGTATGGAAACATTCAAAGGCAATGATGATATTATCCGTGATTAATCTTCCAGGAACAAAAGCACTCTGATTTTCCACTATAATATCACCCAGAATCCTTTTCAGCCTATTAGCCAGCACTTTAGATAGTATCTAGCAGAGAACCTTGCATAGGCTAATAGGTCTGAAGTCCACAGGGATTTGAGGGGTTTTCCTTTTAGGGATTAGAGTTAGCAAAGTATGGTTGAGGGCTTGGGGAAAGGCTCCTGCTTATGAAATCCCTTGAGTTCCTTAGTCACGTCATCCCCAATGATTTCCCAGTTTTTTTGAAAAAACAAGGCTGGTAATCCATCTGCCCCTGGAGCTTTGAGAGGTCCCATATGTTTGAGGGCTCCCCAGATCTCCTCCCTAGTAAAAGGTTGAAGTAAATCATCATTCATCGACTCAGTAACCTTCCTTGGAACAACATCCAATACTGTACTCCCTGAGACCCCTCTCTCCCGCTTTAAACAGTTTCTTGTAGAAGTTTACCGGACATTCTGTAACCTTCTCTTGACCTACAAAACAAGCTCTATTCTCATCCTTAAGTTTTTTGATAGTATTTCTCTTCCTTCTCTCCGAGGCTCTTCTGTGGAAATACTTGGTATTCTTATCTCCTTCTTTTAACCAATCTGATCTTGATCGTTGTTTCCAAAGTAACTCCTCCTGATCTAGGATTTCATTCAGTTCAGTTTCAAGAGCCTGACGTTGACTAGCCAACGCAGCAGTCATGTTCAGTTTCTCTATCTTGGCCAGTGCTTTCTCCGGCCTTCGTTTTCTAGCCTTCATTGTCCCAAACACCTATTGACTCCATTGCTTGAGCTTTATTTCACAGCTAGCAATTCTATCCAACACTCCTCGACTCTGTTCACTTTTCCAACCCTGACTGATTACGTGCTTAATATCTTGATGTTGCTGTCAGACCGCTTCAAATATAAAGGTGTGCCCCCACTTAATCTCCTCTTCTTCCTCAATCTCTGTGTGGAGCACAATGGGATTATGATCAGAGCCACAACGTCTGACATGATTCACCCTCACATTTGGGAAAAATTGTTTCCAGCTCATAGTGGCTACCATTCTATCCAATCTTTCCTCCAGAAAAGTGTCATCTTTATGCTTATTGTCCCATGTAAATCTTCTTCCAAAGTAACCCAAGTCCTCCAAACCACAGTAGTTCAGTGCTTGATTGAAGTTGTCCATCTCATCTGCACACGCTAAGTGTTTCCCATTTTTCTCTTCATAACTCTGAATGAGATTAAAATCGCCCATGACTAACCACGACAGGTTAGTAAACTCACTTAGGTCCTCCAGCAGTTTACAGGTTCGGGCCTTATTTCTTTGCTCAGGCCAGCCATATATTCCAGTTAATCGCCAGGATCTCCCCTCCTCCTCAATGCACATATCAATGTGATTGCTTGAATAACCTTTTATCTCCACCTTCGTGTCTTCTTTCCATAGGACAATGAGACCACCCGATCTTCCTTCAGAACCCACTCCAAAACCATTCTTCCATCCCAATTTTTGTAACATCGTTCTCCATTCATGATGCTTCTTCTTTGTTTCCATTAAAAAAGCCACATGGGGGTTTTGCCTCTGGAGAAGAGACTTCACTTTCCTAATTGCCGAAGGATTCCCCAACCCTCGGCAATTATAGCTTAAACAAATCATTGGGCTGGGCGGCTCTGCTTTGTTGCAGAGTCCGCCAATTCGCCATCCACATTCACTTCTTCCTGCACCAGATCAGTCTTCTTCCCCCCATTCTCAGTTGTAACTTCCATCTGACCACTACCCTTTCTTTTCTTTTTTTTTTATTCCTCTTCCCCCTCCTGGCTTTCCTGGTTATTAAAACCTCGCTTCTGTGGAGTAAGGGACAACCGAACACTACTCTGTGATCCCTGTCTTGGGTTTGGATTCTTCCTCAAAGTGCCTTGTTTTCTTCCTCCTATTTTTATCTGTGAGCTTAATCCCATATTAAACACCAACGGTTCTGAATTCTGCAACAGGGATGTTGTCATTGTTGCTTGTTGATCTATAGTCTCAACGCTTATATCCACATCTGTCTGATGTTTTTATCCCATTAAGGCTAGCATGCGTTTACTCCTCCTGTTGCCTATTAATCCCCACAGTTTGCTGGATCTCCTTCTCCATTTTTTCACCACTGTAATGTGTCTGAGCTGTTTGCTTCACACTCTCTTTTTCTCTGAGTTCTTGGATAGTTTCAGGGGTTTCCAGATTATCCTCACAGCATGCCCCATATATATCCCAATTCTTCAAGTGCTTCTCATAGTAAGTTTCAATCTTGCTAGTCTTTTCTCGTTCTGCCTTCTCCTGGAGCTTATCTAAAGTCCACTCTCCTCTAGCTACCTCCTGCTGGTGATTCCAAATCTCTTCGGCCGAATCTTTCCATGGCTCTTTCATAAGTCTGACTTATGGGAATTTCGGTTTTGGACCCTGTAGTTGCATTTCCTGGAAAGACTTATATCCTTCAGCTTTCTTCAGCTCCTCCAATCTGTCATGGTTTATTGGGTACGCCATAGCTCTCTTTTCAGTCTGTCTAGCTTCTTCAGTCATTCGTTCCCTATCGAATTTAGCTCGAAGAGCAGTCCATATTTCGCCTTGTTCCTCCTTCTCCAATTTAGTTCGCCAGGGTTTATTCTGCAGAGGACCCACCCTAAGATCCAGACCATAAAGGTTCCGGTCCGCCTCCTTCGGATATTCACAATTGATTTGTAGGTGTCCCACCCTGCCACAATTGAAACAAAACATTGGCAATTTTTCATACTTCACTTCGAATTTTGCAATGTCCTCTTGGATTTTCAGCTTCAATTCCGTTTTCAGAGGTGTTCTGATATCCTTTTCAATACACAGTCTGAGGAAGTCGTCCCAAATGCAATCATGTCTATTGTCCACCCAAACCACCTTACCAAACCTGCTTCCTATCTTATGAGCCATCTCTGTAGTTCTCAGAACCGCTGGAAGGAGATAAATGCGAATCCATATGTCCATAATGTAAAAATCATCAGCTTTTGGTTTGTGAAAAATATTAGCTGATTTGAAAATCAGCAAGTTGTTTTCAAAGTGTCAGGGTCCCCCAAAGTAAACCTTGTCACGATCGCTCTGTTCCAGGAACTGGAAAGCAAAGAGTTGGTCTCCTAGCTATGTTATTTGAAACCCCTGCTTGAGGTTCCAGGCTTTTGATAAGGCAATCTTCATGGACTTTATGTTTGGTTTTTTTGCAGACACCAGCCTGCTAGTTAGCCCTAGCATCGCTACAGCTCGTACCAGCACCGAATCAAAGCCACCATCTTCCACAACTAAGGGGTCTTCTTCTGCTAAAGCAACCTTCTCAATCTGAGCTGCCAGCAGCTCCGGATTAAAAACCTTGACCCCCGCTGCCTCCTCTTGATTTGTCTCTTCTGTAATCATCATCAGTTGTGTACTTGATGTCGGTTGCTGTTCTTTTAGCTGATCCCTGCCATCTCCTTCTTTGGCTAGGTCCTTGGATGGAGTCTTAGTTGTATCTTGTTGATCCATTCGATTGGAAAAGCTCTCGTGTAGATCACGAAAAAGGACAGAAGCAAGGAACTCAAAGACAGGTATCGAAAAAAGAATCTCTCCCTCACCCTAAGCGCAGGAGGCTGCTTAGGGCTTCTTTTTGCAGAATAACTTTAATCGAGACCCCTTCGATTACGAACCACAATCTTAGGGAAACTCTCACTCGAAACCCTAGCGCACAGGAGGCACGTTAGGGCTTAAAAGACTAGAACACAGACTATTCTGAAGCACAACCTTAAACTCAACGACTCAGAATCCAATGCCAGGAAAAGACTTCTCTACCAGCTATATAAGATCAAAGATAACCCACTCCCACACCAACACAGAAACGGAGAATAGTTTCCGAATCAACAATGGAGACGGCGACGTAACCCTAGGAACACCCTCGAAACCCTAATTGTCTAGGGAGCAAACCCTCGCTAAACGAGAGAGACATCTGTTCTAAGCGACTTAATTATCAATTAAACCAAATTAACCAATAAAATGCGAAACACTTAGTTATACTTTTACCACCCTGGATATCATTATCCTCTATGATGCAAAGATTTTAACAAAACATGACATCGCGCTGTTCATATTGAGATAGCAAGCACAGGACCCAGAGATACAGGGAGATTTCCGGTGCATGTTTGTAGTTTGTACACGCTATTTGTATTCTTCAAGTTTACACATGCCTACTTAATCTTCTTCTTTTTTTTTCTTTTTTGGTAGAAGCCTACTTAATCTTTAGAAGTTAGCAAGAAACCCACTTGAGATTTCCACTAGCTCGTGGAGTCGTACACTCCCTCTGTTTTCGGCTTCTTGTGGTTATTCTTCCTTCTCTTACTCTTAGCCTTTCCCTCAGGGGGGAAGTAACCAAGCTGCTTTAAATACCAGATAGCTCCTGAACTCGCATGCTCTGTTGCCGCTTTCTTTTGGGGCATGGGATTACTAAAACACTCCAGGAACGTAGAGGATGCGGCTTCTTCAACCCGAATCTCGACAATGACCTTGCAGGTAAACCTATGAGAAAAATCACGCCTGCCATATTAGTCACACCATAATTTTGATTCTATATCATTGTAGCATAATGTCCTCCACTTACAGTGTCATGTGTGCAGGACCTTGCTCCAAGCGCCATTCATATTCAGGGAGCTTCCACTTGTTTGCAGAACAAACTTGATGCAACATTGTTTTAGATGATATCACTTTCGCCTCACCTAGGAGGAGAATGCATGAATCACAATGACCAAGGTTAATGTCATAATGGAAACATGCCTACCGTTGAAGTTCGCTACATGTATTATGGCAGGCATATGAACTGTTTCAGTTAGAGAGACAAACTACACGATATCAATATCAACGAATGTCAGAGAAGCTGTGGATTTGATAAACAAATAGAATCGGTTGTATTTTTCAAAATATCAAGCCAATACTATTATCTTATTTGAAGCAAAATGCAGCATGCGTGTATATCAGCGAAGAACTTTCTTTCTAGGATATTCCAGGGATCAGAACTTCCAATATCTGAAGAACCAAAAAGACAGGAGGATACTTAACCCATCATCCCTTCAGGCCACCATTGCTGAAGCCAAATACAACCTTAACTACCCACAACCAAAAAGGCATAATCTTTAGGATGATTCCATTGAACCCTAGACAGAAATGACGATTGTAATCCAACCAGCTATTTAGTAATGAGAGACGCACAAATCAGAGTTATAGAGCTGAACCATTTTATTATGAGCCGATAAATTAGAATCTTAATCCAAATCGGCCAATTAAACTGAATCTGAAGCCCTTCTCTTCAAATGTGAAAGTTAAATTTCACTATCCCAAACCTAACTCACCTAGTCACCTATCTGCTAACCATGAACCCTAATTACCAGTAGAAGCATTAAACTGCTAAACCGTAGAAGCATTAAACTGCTAAACCGGCGGATTCAAAAATAATAAATTGCAAATGAAAGCAACCCCACATGAAGAATCGCACTAAAATTCCATTCCCATCCAAAATTAACCTGGGTGATCGAGTGCCGGCGGCACAGTTGTTTCAGCTCCACAAGTTCTCTCGGCCATAGCTGTGTCCTGGTCCTGGGTCTTGCAAGGGTTGCTGCTTATGTACTCGGGTCGATGCCGCTTTGTGAGAGCGAGTAGACCCGTTTCGGTATTCGCTTGATCATCCAACTTGTTCACCTCAGTGGGATTCAGACTCACCATCATTTGGGGCAGACTTTCCATTCATGAGCTGATAAACCACAAGCGAGAGAAAGAATCACGTGCAGTGCTGAAGAGACGGAGGCGAGGGTGCAATCGCTTGGATTACCTATTGCTAGAGATCGGGGCTTCACGGCTTCTGACGGTTGTGGTTGAATCTGATGGTCAATCCATGACCGTCAAACTCAGGAAAGGAGAAGCAGAACGGACTGAGATCGGAAGAACATGCGAAGTGATTTTACATTTGGTTGCCCTCTTCCGTAACCAGACTAGAGGTGTATTGAAATGGGCCTTTGCTCCGCGTTCTGCTAGCACGTTGGCCCATTGACGGGCCCATATAGAGGTGGGATAGGGAATTTGCTCTGCTGGGGCCTGGGAAGATAGGCCCTCTGGCGCTCTATGTTTTAAACGGCCGACAATTTGGGCCGTTCAGTTTTCAATATTTCTCCAGGCAAAATGCACTTACATTTTACCATTTTTGAGTTTACGTTAATTCCGAAGAAATACGTAAAATTCCCAGAATTTTAAATGCTAGTATGACAAATAGTCACTTTCGTTACAAATTTTAACGGAGTTAGAGACACTGTCAGTTACTTTAATGGTACGCTGACTAGGAAGCCAAATCAACCACACATCAGTGACAACTCGGCCTCATGTAACATGCTAATGATACATAACATTTTACTTTAAAATATTTAATTATTATTTTTTTTGAAAGTCCTTTAGAAACAAAAGCAATCCAATCCGCGATGATGGCAAGTTCTGGGGAGATTTCCGCGGCGACGATTCCTCACCTCAATAACTATGTTACTATACTACACCACTGACGCTGTCGCTCGCGTCTTCCTCCTCTCCCTCCTCCCCCCCCCCCCCCCCTCCTCCACCACACATTGTCGCAACCTCAACTTCTCTCCTCTAAAGGCTCTCAAACTCTCCTGCAACACTTTGGATTTCTCGATGAAGGAGATTAAAAGAGGCGGTTGCAGTTTTGGAGACCTTATGAGGCTTTTCGGTTTGCTTTTCCCATCTGTAGGATTTGGAAGCATCTCACTTCGCTCACTTCAGCGAGAGCGACCAGCTCCAGCAGGTCTCCATCCACTCCTCACCCAATTAGGTTATTCTCGTCAGTGTTCCCGACGCCTTCACCACTACCCCCACACTCAAAAACTTTTCTTCAAGGTTTCTCGAATCCAATCGACAGAAAGCCCATTTTCATCCTCATTTGTTCACCGAAGGAGAAGAAGATAACTAGTGGTGCTTCGATTTTAGAACATGGGTAAAGAACACACTTTGTTCAATCGAAAGATAAGATAGCTAGGGATTATATTCCCTTGTATGAAAGAGTGAGATGCCACCATTAGCGAAGAAGCTCAATTTCCGGTTCTTGATTCGATTGTAGCTGGGATGGTGGAGGATGGAGTGTTTGTCGTCCGAACGACAGAGAACCCGTTGCCATCTTCCTTTCGATGGAGCGAACAAAGAGAAAGCCATAACTGTTTGGAAGAAAAGAAGATGTAAGACGTGACGCTGATTGTATAAATTAAAAATACGATTGTACAAAAATACATACTTACTATTTACTAATTTTCTTTGAATTTTGATTTAATTAACATTATTTGGCCATAAAAATGTGGGAAGAGCAAATGCTTAGAAAAAACTAACCATTTTTTTTTACAACAATGACTTCTAGCCTTCTCTATATTAAAAAAAAAAGACTTCTAGCCTTCTCCATTATAGCACACTTGACAGTCGCACGATAACAGTTCATAATCATTCTGGTATATTATTCCACATTGACAATCAAAACTACATATCAACCACACCAACCAACCCCAATTTTACTTAAACCATCCATGCAAGCACCAAATCAAAATTTCAGTTTCGGCTACATTATTTCACATTTCTTGTCTCACAATAGCAATACATTCAAATCCTAATCACAACCGCTACATCCAACCATGCATATCTCTAAATACCAGCTTCTGAGATAAGACAAACGTCAGAAATTCAGATCCGATGTCGTCGTCGTCGTCGTCGGAAACATCTCCGTCCGGCCAAGGTCACATCTTTATTCTTCTGTGATGCTCTCCAGACTCGGCGTCCAACCATCAAAACCAAAACCTCTCTTCGGCGGCTGACGAGCCCCACCACCCGATCCCCTTTTCTTCTTCTTCATCTTCTTATTATTATAGTAGTTACTCTTTGTACTATCATTCCACGCTAAGAACTGCTCCGCCGGCAACCCAAAGCTGCCGCTGCCGCTGCCGCTGCTGTCACTCCCACTTCCGCTCCAATTAACGATACCCATTCGATAATCATCGTTACTAAAGCTATAACCTTCACCAGACTTGTCCTTGGTGACATTCCCGTTGACCAAGTTGGTGAAGCAACTAAAGCAGCCGACTTTCCGCCGCCGTGGACCGTCGCCGGCGCTTTTCTCGTTACCATATACATAGCGAGGAATGACATTATTGCCATCAACTACGGCAGGAGAGCTGGCGGCGGCGCCGGCATTAGGGTTGCGCTTCGCGAACTTCCTCTGAAGCTTCCTGATGGTACTCGTGGGCACGACGTAGAATTTCTGGCCCAGCATCAGGGTCGTCTCCGGCGAGACCACGGCCGACAGCGGCTGGCGGAACACGTCCGGGCGAGCCACCGCGCATTTCGGGTTCCTGGCGGTGATTTCTCCGGCCAGAATGGGAGCGTCGTGGAGCTCCACGTGGCCGCCTGGGTACACGATGCGGACTACCATCCGACGGCGGCGGCGGCGACCGGGAGTTTGGCCCATTTTGGGGGATTTTTGGGGGAGATTTGTTTTTTATTTTAGTGCTGATTACTGGTTTTAAGATAATTAATGGCGCGCTGAGAAGTTATCATTGGGAGACGGGTGGAAATAAGAAGGTTGTATTGTCTGACTTTAAATTACATAGGGCCGGCACGGGCGGCGATAGTTCTTAGAACATTGGAAGCTCAGTTTGATGCCCGGGCGCGTAGCAAACTAGGTATCCCAAATTCCCCAATGATGAACAACTATTATTTCGGACATTCGTTTTTCTTGCTTGTCCCTTTGTTATATGGCAATACTATCAAGTAGAGACCTTTTAAGGTTTTTCGAAAATATTATATTTTAACAAAAAAATTATATCAAAACATAGCTCACGAACAAGTAATTCCAAATCTGAGAGCGGATCTCATGACTAAGGGGGTCTTTAGTCACTTGACTAAGCCCCTCCTAGCCATTAGATCTGGACACTTCAATCCAATGGTTAAAAAGTGGGAAGGGTTATTTAATTAATGACAGGGGTAGTTTGGGTATTATGGAAAATTAAAAAGTATACAAACCGGATTTACAATCAGTACAAACCATACAAACATACGAACGGTACAAACTAGAGCGACAAAACATACAAACAGATTTACAAACATTACAAATTAAACGTATGAACTGTACAAACAATACAAACTAGACTGACAAACAATACAAACCATACAAAAAGAAAAAACAACCGGGTTGACTTTGGAGGCTCCATCCCTATATAGAGAGGCTCCTTCCCAAAGTCAACCCGGGTATTTTTTAGACATACAAACATGGTGGACAAAAATGACAAACTAGACCGACAATCCATACGAACGGGAAAAAACACCCGGGTTGACTTTGGAGGCTCCATCCCTATATAGAGGGGCTCCTTCCAAAGTCAACCCGGGTGTTTTTTAGACATACAAATAGTACGAACATGGTGGACAAAAATGACAAACTAGACCGACAATCCATACGAACGGGAAAAAACACCCGGGTTGACTTTGGAGGCTCCATCCCTATATAGAGAAGTTCCATCCAAAAGTCAACCAGGTTGTTTTTCAGACATAAAAAACATTACAAACATGGTTGACAAAAATGATAAACATGGTGCACAAAAATAACAAAGTTTACGAACATTACAAAAGAAACGACAAACATTACAAAATAACAAAGCGTACAAACATTACAAAATAAACCGACAAACAATACAAAGCATACTAACCGTAAAATCTCTCTCTATCTCTATTTGGAGAAATTCCCCAGCAAAGTAATACAAATGGCGTTTCTCCAAAAAAAAAAAGTAATAAAAATGGCAGCAAAGCAAAGGAATGGCTCTCTCTCGTTGCATTTGGGGAATATTCCCCAGCAAAGTAATAAAAATGGCAGAAAAGGAATGACAGGGGATTATTCCCGACGTCGCTGAGAGTAAAAGTTGCCGGCGGAGTCAAAGTGGTCGGCGGGACGAGAGCTACGAGCTAGGCACGCTATTTTTCAATTAATTAATAATTAAAAATAATAAAATAATGCAATTACTATATTGTCCTTCATTAAATTGGATTAATCTGAGCCTTTAAATTTAAATGAGGTTGGATGGCTGAAATGCACTTAGTCACATGACTAAGGGGACCCATAGTCACCTGATCTTGGCCCTCCAAATCTATTGTGGGTTTTAGTGCAATTGGGGCATTTGCCCAAATTTAGGTTTATGCGGCATATATTAACTCAATTTAGAGGGACTCCCGTCGTTAGAAGTGGAAATAAGGTGGCCATAAAGTCAACTGAGGAGAGCACGCCTCAATTGAGCTTGTTACTGCCTTAATCTAACTTTCAACTGCTGCAAAATCAAAAATCGATAAATGATAACATCCCCGACGAGAAAACAAAAAAAAAAAAAAGGTAAGATTTTGTCACCTATAAATAGGAGGTCATCATATATATCTCATTTTCACACATAATTTACAATATTTTTAAATTTTACACCCTCCTCCACCATTTTCAACTCTCACATCACTTTTTTCAATATTTAATCTCTTATCCCACTAGAAATTATGGCAAATTTGAGGTATGTAAATAATCTTTTTGTATTAACTTAGTGAATATATGCAGTTAATTTAAACTATATGTTTCAATTAGTGAGGTACTTAATTATACTATATATTTTGTTTTTGTTTTTTGTGTAGTGATCTTACAACCTTTGCATTGACTCTAGACTTAAGTACAAATGGTTGATTACAACCTTAACACCTTAGAAATTAAGATGACATATGGTGTATAATAACTTGTTGTAGTTATCATATGAAAAGTGGTTAAGTATGGAGCCAAGGGGTATCAAACTAACAAGACAGGATTTGTAGTAAGGCGACATGGTACCAAGACGGGTACCAGCTAAGAGAGTCATACAGAAACTAAGTATGGATATCAAGTCGACAAGAGAG